TGACCAGATGTCCCGATTTTATAGGGACAGTCCCGATTTTTGGGTCTTTTTCTTATATAGGCTCCTATTTCCCTCCCTCCCCCCCATTCCGATTTTTCACACTTGCTGTCTGATCACCCTAACTGGGAAACTTTGCCAAATATTACAATCTTTTAGCCTCTGCAATGATTTCCCGAAGACAGTGATAGAAGCCTCTGTGTTTGAAATGTATTAAAACTAGACTGGATGAAGTGCAGGAGAATATGCTGCAGGAAACTATTCTGCACTGATGCCGGATAGACTAGATGTGACCTAATAGGTCGGTTCTATCACTAACTTCTGTGTTCCATTATAATTAATGCCTTTGTTATTTCTGGAATTGGTTGTTATAATTCATTATCCTCTTGTCTAACTGATCATATTATTAAGAAACTGCGGCAGACACTGAGTATGCGGCTGTTAGAGTTCTTTCTTGTGTCTAGATTGTTTGATCATTGCCTTAGTTTTGATATATTTTCATTAGTTACCCGTCAGATTTCACTTGATTTGCGTGAACTGATTTGTGTGTATGTGTCCTTACCACTGCCCTCTAATAAGCTGGATCAGAACTGCTTTGCTATGTGTCTCAGTCCCTATATTGTTCTCAGCTAATGTCGATTCTCCTTTAGTTAAGTGGCAAGGATATGGTTTTGAAACACAAGGATATGGGTTCTAAACTTGCAGCTGCTGTGAAATTCTGCATGGCCATTATGTGCGGTCTAATGACCTTCGATTGTCAGCTTTTTAGGGCAAGGACAATCTTTCAGTTAGTGTTTGTACAGCACCTCGCACAATGTGGTCCTGGGCCATGATAGGCATTTCTACCACAATACAAATAATAAACAAAAACAAAAATGAAAACGGTGAAGTTCTATAGGTGTCCATGACAGACTTCTTATCGTATGTTTCTTGATTTTCTTAAGATTAATATCTGTTGATTGTACTAAATATAATTTTAAGATAGCTGTCACTCTGGACTCTACCTGAGTCTAATTTATGCAATGTGAATGTGGAGTTTGTATTACCTTTTCATATGTGCAAACATGAATCAATTTTTAAACCACAATTGAACAGGGCGTGTGTTTAAGAATATTTTGTGCTATGTAAATGACACGGGGACTTCTTGTGAAGGGTATTGTATAAATGTAGCATATTGCTGTTAAAGGCCCTGATTCAGCAAAGCTATTACGCACATGTTTAAATCCCATTAAAGTCAATGGGAAATAAGCATTTGCTTAAGAATTTTGCTGAATCAGGGCCATAAGGTAAACATTGCTCATTTGCACTAATCACTAAACTGGTGTAAATGACCAGATGCCATGAATTAATAAGTGAGTGAACATACACACAAGCAAACCTTATGCATCCCAAGATGTTTCACTTTGATCACAACTGTCATTTAATGAATGTTATTTATAAGTTTCAGAGTAGCAGCTGTGTTAGTCTGTATCCACGAAAAGAAAAGGAGGACTTGTGGCACCTTAGAGACTAACAAATTTATTTGAGCATAAGCTTTCGTGAGCTATAGCTCAGTTCATCGGCTGCATGCAGTGGAAAATAAAGTGGGGAGATTTTATGTACACAGAGAACATGAAACAATGGGTGTTACCATACAGACTGTAACAACAGCGATTAGGAAAAGCGAGCTATTTCCTCGCTTTTATTTGTTTATATTATTCTAACACTTCACTATTATAGTCTGTAGTTCAGTTTGTTTGAAAGAAAAAAAAACCCCAGTGGTCTTTGTATTATGTGGAATTATAATACTTTGGCATCATGATATTCAATATTTGCTGAAGGGTAGGGAGGAGACTGACTTTAGTTTGCGCTAATTATAGAGTGAATTAAGGAATCTCTATTACATTACAGAGCTAACGGTTGTTTCTGAAACAATGTCTCTGAAGAAGTTTTTGAACTAATGTGTGCTGTAAACTCTGGGCTAAATCCATTTCTGGAGTAACTCCATCGGAATCAAATGAATGACCTGAAGCCCATAATGCAAGGGAGACTTGCTTGCTAAGTGGTGGCCAGATATTTTTGCTCAGAGCTTATGCAGCATTGCTATCAAGGAATCCTGAAACAACTGACCAGGTTTCACGGCAAATTTGATACTCAGTCCAGGTTTGCCCAAAGGTTTATAGACCTAGTGAGTAGAGATGGTCAGAACGCCCCTGAGGTTTGGGAAAGTTTTTGGACCTTGTTTTTCCGGCTGGCCCTGAACGCTATAGTGAGTCAAACAAACAGTACTGGGTAATGACAATCCTCAGACTTTGGGCAAGTTTGGCTCTGGGCTTTGTGACTTGCTCTAAATTCTGTAAGGGACCAAACAAAAGATCTGTATCCAAACACTCCCAAATGTAGCAGAAGTGTGGCTAGGGAGCTAAACTTTGTGCTATCTCCACTTTCAAGTGAATCTGGAACCAGCCGTGAGTGAAAAATTTTAGTTATTTGATTTATTTGTAGGGTTGAATGCAGCCCCCAGTACCATGCAATCAGAATATGAATCTATCCTTTTAGGAACCCTGTGAGGTAGACAAGTGTTTTATAATCTTATGGAGGCTCAGTGACCAAGGCTTAAATTTTCAGAAATGGCCTGTGATTTTTGGCAGCTCAGTTTCTGAGTGACTAATATGAGACATCTTGAGGCCTGATTTTTCAGAGACTGGAGGGCATAAGGGGAATTAAGAATGGGGGAGAAGGAAGAATGGAGAGGCTTGTGGGGGAAGAGGGAATAAGGGTGTATACAGAGCTGCTGGCATGAAGGGAGGAGACTATGGGACCCTGGAATGGGGGGGAGCACACACAGAGGCCCTGGTATAGGGGGCGCACAGTCCCAGGCATGAGGGAGAGGATTTGGGGAGTTGCAAAGAGTCCCTGAAATAGAAGATTGGAGGATTGCCCATGGGTGGAATGGAGGAATGCAAGGAGCCCTTGGTGAGTGCAGTGAGCTTGGCCTACAGAAGCTATGAAGGACACAACCTTCTGGTTATATCTGAGAATTGTGTGGGATCTCCATGAAGAAAATCAGGCCCTAGATATTTCAAGCCAGAAACACCAAATCAATGAAAATTTTGTCTTAAGCAACCCTAACCCTTAAGCAACTTGCAACTCACACAGCGAGTCTCTGGTAGAGCTGGGAATACAATAAGAGCTCCTGAATTCCAGCCCACTTTCTTCTCTGGGGCTGATTTGTGGTTTCCCATTTAAATCCTTGTAAAATCATTGAATTTTTAGATGCGTTCAAACGGGAATTTCAAAGTGAAAGTTGAGGTACGTGAACCCCACACTGACTGAAAGCAAAGGAAACATTTACACAAATCTCTCTAAAGCAAACCTGATGAATTCTGCAAGGTCCTAACTGGATTGGATGGAGTCATTTATCTGAGTGCTACATGTTAATTGCAGCTGAAGACTTGAGCTGGCACCTAGCGAGCTAAAAGGGAGCCTTCGTCCTTTTCAAGCCAGCAGGAGCTGTGCCAGGCTGGTCTCGGCTGGAAGTCTTTCTTTGTAGATCTTACAGGCTGTCAGGATGAAAGGTAGATGTAGGCTAAAAATGGCTCAGGAGCATGGCTGGGTATATGCAGGTAATAGCAATGAGAATGGAGAAGGGTTATCAAGTAAAATATGAACTAAAAGGCAAAGGACATTGTGGAAACCATCCAAGGGGGGGAAATGTGCACTCAAACAGGGTCTGTGGCCAGAACAGAGGAAATGCTGGATAAGTCTAATGAGGAGTGTCATCGGAAGACAGCAAGTGTGTGAAAAGGAACAGGGAAGACTCAATGCGTGGTTGAAATAAGGAATAGGTCCGAAAAATAGCACAGATCAGAAATAATAGGTGCCCCGAGAAGGCAGCTTGATCTGACACAGACGTTGAAATCCATTCCGTACCTTTTCAATGTGATAAATCTAACTTCAGAAATAAAACACACAGCCTCCCCACGATGATTTGTAACCAAGTTCTTTGGGGGATTGGAACGTGGCTAATTCTTCAAAGTGCCATGTCAATTTGTGACATGAATCCGTGGGGGCCCAAACCAGAACCATTTATCCAGCAGCTAGCGGATGCTGGGTTGTGTTATGGGTGTAGTGGCACAGATGGCATGTGCTAGCCAGAGGTGTGAACACAGCAGGTGCAGACAGGGGAGAGGAATAGGTGCAGAGCTTGGCCAGAGGTGAAAGTGCAGTGGGCCCAGCACTAAGCAGGGCTGGCCTGTTGGGGAGCATAGCTGTTTCAGGTAGGCCAGGTGTGTGGGAGAAGTGAATGCTTTTGTCAGGTGCAGGAGAGAAGTGTGGGTGCAGTGGTCCCAATGCGCAGAGAGGTTGGCGGATGTGCAGCTGGTGGGGGCTGGGCAGATGTGCAGGATCAGTGTACAGAGAGAATGGGCATGGCTTACTGGTAGGAGCTGGGCAGGGCAGTAAACACAGTGGGTTGGGATGGCTAGGGTGCAGCTGGCAGGGATATGTGTGGGTGCAGGGGGAAGCTGGGGTGCAGTGAACACTGGCTGGGGTGGCTGGGGTGCAGGTGGGGGGGATATGTGTGGGTGCAGGGGGAAGCTGTGGTGCAGCGAACACTGGCTGGGGGGTGGCTGGGGTGCAGCTGGCAGGTGGTGGGGATATGTGCGGGTGCAGTGAACAGTGGCTGGGGTACAGGTGGTGGGGACGTGCATGGCTGCAGGGGGGGAAGCTGGGGTGCAGGGAACACTGGCTGGGATGCAGGTGGTGGGGATATGTGAGGGTACGGGGGGGGGGAAGCTGGGTGGCTGGGAGGGCGCAGCTGGGCTGGTTAGCAGCGGGCAGGGGCTGGACAGTCTCGCTAACGGAGAGACACCAGAGAGGGCAAAAGGGGCGGACGCAACCGAACCACCCTCCTTCCCCGCTCCCCCCTGTTCTCCGTGGAGTTCTCACCCCGCCCCTTGTCCTCCCCCTCCCCGGGTGACGTCACCCCCAGCTCCGCCGGCGCCATTTTGAAAGTGGAACCTTGGCACGGACGGGGGGGGGGGTGGTGGACGAGGGAGCAGGAAAGACCGACTCGGAAGAGCGGGGGAAGCCGAACGGAGCCGGCTTCGCACCGCGCCCCCCCCCCCCCGGTACAATCTGCCGCCATCCTCCCTCCACGCTCGCCATCCGCCCGGCACAGGGACCCCTTCCGAGAGCGGAGAGGCCGCTCTCCCTGACCCGGCCGCTATTGGGAGCCCAACATGGCAGGTAAGGGGGAGAGCGCCCCCTCCTTCCCGGGGGCCGGCCCCCGCTGCCCATCGAGCCCAGGGGGCGGGGGGAGTGTGTGTCGGGGCAGGTGAGGCCACTAAAATGGCCTGGAAAGCAGCCTGCAAACCTGAGCTGTTGCCTGATCTGTGGGGAGGTTGCATACTTGCTCGCTGTCTCTCCTTCTTTTCCTCTTTCTCATTCCCCCGCTTTCTCTCTTTTTTTTTTTTTTTATTCCTTCCTCTGAAAATGTGGGCTCGGTTTCTCTTCCTCTTTTTTTTTTTTTAAATTTGCATTCCTAAAACCTTCAATCCTGAAATGCAATTTGCATTCCCCACCCCCCTTTTAATATATTTTTTTTCCTTCTAGAAATCTGTGTTCATTCCTCTTTTGCTTCCCTGCTTGCAAAACATTTGTGTTTCGCGAGGGTGGTGGTGGTGGCTGGGTTTGGAAGAAGCCCTGTATTTCTGAAGTTGAGCATGTTAGGAGATTTCCAAGCAGGGTGTGTGTGTGTGTGTGTGTTTTGGTTTGTATTTTTTTCCCTAGACTTTTTGGTTTTTGCAAGGGTGTTGCGTGATTGAAGTGCAGTTTGTAGGGGTGCAGATGTGCACAGGAGGGTGGCTGTAGAGTGCAGATGTGATTGTGATTAGAGTGCAGCTGCACCCTCCTGTAGGGTGTAGTTGTGTAAATATCTGCAGATACAGGTGAAATTGGGAAGACGGTTGTAGTTGGTTAGAAAATTCAGGTATCTCTGAGTGTGTGCAATAATGTGTGGTGTGTTTATTTCTTATTTTCTTTCTTCTGGAGATTTATGTTCTTTCTCCATTTTGCAGATTGCTTATCTTGCACCCTAAAGTGCGATTTGTGAGATAAAAATTGATCCAAATGCACAGGATGTCTCTTCCTCTTACTTTTCCTCTTGATTTTTTTTTTCTTCTGGTGACATGTTAATTTCCCCTCCTTTGCAAATTAATTGCCTCGTCAGTGCCTTGCATTCTGTAGAGCAGCATGAGAGGTGGTATTTAGGTTTGCACCTTGCTTCCCACACACATACCAGGCTGTCCCACTCCACCCTTCTCTTTCCTTTCCTTCTTAACCAACGGAAACAAGGCCTTGAAGGTAGCAAGTTGTATGAAAATTAAAATACAGTTTGCTGCATACGGTATATTGTTTTTTCTGGCAAACAATCATTCTCAAAATGCTTCCAAGGTGTTAAAAGTAAGAGTTAAATAGAAAATAGCAGAAGTCGGGGGAGGACAAGAAATTGGGTGGATAGGGTTGTGGGTAGTTGGGAAAGATGCTGTGGGTGGGATACTTTTCCAATACATGCATCCAGAACAAATATTGCAATTCATATTGTCTAGAATAGGTAGACATCCTGATAAGATTTCCCCCATCACCTTGACTGATTCTAGTTCAGGTTGTCTCCCCTAGTTCCCGGACTTGGTAAGAAACTCCAGATACAGACCACAGGCTAATCCTTTTCAGACTCTCACTCTTCTCCTCCTCCTTCCCCCCCCCCCCCCCGTGCCCCCCAACACACACACACTCCCCAGTGCTCAGGCAGCCTCTTGATCTTTCATGGAGAGAGACTGCTCCTGACTTGACCTTAATTTAATTTGTTCCTCAATTTGGGGAGGGAGGGATCCTTCCTGCATGCCCCCTCTTCCCCGGAATGTTGCATCACATTCACGCTTTGCAAGCTACATCTGTTGTGTAGTCCTTTTTGGTTGTTGTGGGTTGAGAAGGAATTTCCATTTTGATAGCCTCCTGCAGACAGAGCAAACTTGTTTCCATCTCTCTTCCTGTCTGGACCCGGCCCAGTGATTTGTTAAGAATGAAATGCAAAATAAATGGGTGGTGTTTTTTTGGCGTTTTGGTGGCAAGGTTCAAATGAATCACTACCTTCCGCCGAGGCGGTAATGTTCCTGAAGTTTTCTCTTCGATCCATTTTCTCTGGTAGTTATACTTGCTGTTAACTTCAGGCCGATTTGTTGCTTTTTAAAAAACCTAAGCCTGACTGTTTCTTTTGGTACTTTTATGGCAAAGGAGGGGGAGGATTATAAACTTGTTTTCTCTCGCCTGATGTACTTAGGTGCTTTAAAGTATTGTATTTTGCAAAAGAAATTTTTTTTCTTTTTTATAAAGTGCAAACATTTAATGATTTGAAATATTTGGAAAACTTGTAGGGGCCATTCTGGCATCTAATATTTACTTAGAAATTTAAGTCACTTGTAAGTAAAGTGCTCTGTTTTTTAGAGGGCTCTGAAGTTCTTAAATTTAAAAAAAGTGTTGTGACATATACCGACTGGAGCTTGTTTTAACATGGCATAGTTTATTAACACTAGCTGTGCTTGTTTTGATAGTTTTGTGAGTTTTCAAGAAATGTAGAGAGCAACTTTGATCGTTCCTGCTGCTACTTTTGACAGATGCTGCTTTGGATAGTAGGCAAATCACTGACAAAAGCAATATCAGGATTGCGGAGGGGGGAGTTTGTAGTCAACTTTTGGAATCTCTACATTTGCATAGGAAACGTTGTTTTTTGTAGGTGTGTACAGTACTGTCTAAATTATGTCACTTGCCAGCGGTGGATACTGCCTCTGTGTTTACTGGAGTAAACACAAAACTCAGACTGATTTAACAAGGATCTGTTTTATTTTTTTGTTTCGTTTTGTTTTTTTTTCTAGGACCTGGAGGAGGAGGGAATGACATTCAGTGGTGTTTTTCTCAGGTGAAGGGAGCTGTAGATGATGATGTAGCAGAAGGTAAGAACAAACTTTATTAAAGTGAATTAATCTGATTGCTGGGTAGCAAGGGTGTTGCTGAAGTTTCTCCTTCAGAATTGGGTTTTATTATGCATAATTGTATTAAAATAGGAAAGCAAGTGGAAACATCCAGGCATCCCTCTATATCCTGGGATGAAACTTATATGCGATATAAGTGGGTGCAATTCAACTGACATCTATGGTCCTCCTGCTGCTTGTGTCAGAGTTGAATTTGGCCCGATGATTGCGACAGGAGTTAACTTGTTTTCCAAAATATGTCACATGACAAATAGTCTCAGTTGAGACAGAGCTACTAATTTGTCTGTTTTCCCCATCAGTGAAATGGGGATAATGACACTTACATTCTTTACAGGGGTGTTGTGAGGATTAATTAATGTGTGCACAGCACTTCGAAGACGTAAGGTGCAGCATAAGTGTCGGGTAAATGTTCCAGTTTTTCCGTCCTGCATTAGCCATCAGAATTAAAGTGGAATTTTTGTACAGAATGACTTTTTAAGTGTCAGTTATTTTTCATGATGAAGAATTATTGGAAACTGCTGTAAGCTTTTGTAGTATAGGGCTCCTACCCTGCCCGTGACAGATGTCATCTTTTTAGCAGAACGGCTGCCTTGAGCTGATGATGCAAAAATTCCATTTGGAGTTTTCAAATGATGCTTGATTCATGGAAGGAGAGGTCTTTCTTTCCTTTCGACTATTCAGACTTCTGGGCTGAACAGGACCCTTGGTCCTGCTTGCTGCTCCATCTGGGCAGAGCCCCACTGACTTGGATATAATTCTCTATGGCTTTAGGGGTCCATTTTTGCAGGGCAGCTTGCAAGATGAAGACCTAAAATTGTTTCCTCTTGCAAAAAGCTGACTTTGGGGGGGGGGGTGTGTGCGTGTGTATGGTTTACTCAGCATATTTAGCATTTTACATGTCCTGTACTCACTAACTTGCAGGCAAACGAGAGAAATATTTATGTTGTATTTAAGAAAGAAGTAACTTGTTTCATTTCCATTCTTTTTTACTTTTGACATGGTCGGATTTAAATTCTGGAACTGCTACCACTGTAGCGCCCCAAGTGTTTCGCTTTTAATTCATGACTTGCAACCTGTGGAAATGATGCCCTTCAAAGATTTTGTCTGATGCTTACCAGCTGAAAGTTAGGTTTTTGGAAGCAAGTAGGTTGAAGCAAATGTCAAAAACGAATATATTTTTTTGCAAGATGGATACATTTTAAATTGTTCAGCAAGTACATTTTAAAGGTTGAATGTTGTTAATTTACATAACTGTTGTGCAGTTTTTTCCTACCAGACTTCAATTTCTGTGAACTTTATTGTTCGTTGACATTCTGTAGCTACCTGGCTTTTGAATTAAATGCAAACAATTGAGGAAATCTTGACTCTGCCTATTTCTCCACTGATAGATGGAGCCTATGAGCTAAGACACAAAAACATTAGAGCTGTTCCTTTGATGTTCATACATCTGTTCCATTAAATAATACTCGCAGGTTGTGGTGATTGGTGTCCTCTTTCCCTCTCACCCCCTTCTGCCTCCGTTCTCTCTCTCTCTTTTTTTTAATATATCTGTGATGAAATGGATCTGGAAATCCAAGAGCCAGTCTCAGTTCTTAACTCCACGGTTTGTTCTTAAATATTATAGCTCCTACACACTTAGTATGAAAGATGATTTACCAGTCTCTCGCTTCCTGACAGCTGGAATAGCTAGTCACAATGGGTCGAGTTAAAGACCAAGAGTACATGAACTAGCTTGAATTTCAGCCTGACACTCAGTGTTGCTTTTAACATTTTTTTGTATAAATATCCATTTATAATTGTGCAAAAGGTATAAGCTGCTCATTGTGCAAGCTGTCCCTAGAGAGACAAAGAAGATTATAATGACTTCATAGTCAGCTATATCATCATTTCGTAAAGGTGTGTGGTGCTTTTATTAAAAAAAAAAAAAAAAAAGTGCATATTACAGGGCTTCTACATAGGGCCTGGGATTTTGTTGTGCACTGGGATGGCTGCTTAAGTAAGGTCCCTAGGAAAATTTACGTGGGAGTATCTGACCATAATGGATTTTGTTGAGTTGGAATTCTTTTACCCATATGGCTGACTCCCACATGGCATGCTGAAAACTCTTTCAGAACAATTGAAAGATGTCTGTCCATCTACTCAAACTGTAACTTGAGCTCCTACCCAACTATTTAAAGGTAGTGCTATACTTGAGATAGATCCCTTATCCTTGAAATATTGTTCGAATAGTTTAAATACTGGTTAATTTCATTTCTTACGTTTATTTCCTTGCATACGTTATATTACGAGCTGTGTACTGAGGAAACACACCTTTAATAATCCTCCTTGTGAACTTGGGACTATAGTTCTACACATAGTAAAACTATACATGTTTTACATGTTTCTGGTGTGTGTCGTGTCTTCCTAAATTGCACCGGAATAAGTATGCTGTGGCTTTAGGTCCAGGCTGATAACCTTTTTCTCTGTCTGCCTTTCTGCTTCTTCTGTGTAAGCAGGCAGTATATTGAAAGCTCACAAGAATGTTGCTGTCTGAGCCTTGAGAGGGTGGTGGTCTTTTAAATTTGCGTGTGTTGTCTTCTCACAAGAATGACCTGTGATTATGGAGGAAAAATGCTGGTTATTGTAAGGTTGCAACTAGTGTGTATGGTTTTTTGTTTTAAAAAGTGATGTTAAAAAGACAACTGCATTGAATATACACAATTTAAAAGCAAATTACTTGTAATACTACGAGCTTGGTTTGTTAAAACTGCAACAATTTTAAAACTCTAATTTACTTTTCACATTGTTATGCAGTTTATTTCTTTCCGCATAGAAGGTTAAAATAGAGTAATGTCACTTTTGTTTCTAGTGATGTGTTAGTAAGTTTCACTTTCTTGGTTCTTTTGTATTAATGCACCTTATAATGTTTACATTGTAAACACTTAGCGCTTGTGTATGCCCAAGTTGCGCCCATTTAGCTTAAATCAGTGCTGGCTTATCTTGGTTTACCTTGCACCTGTGCACAAGCTAAATCAGGACAAATGTCCGCATTAAAAATTGCATCAGTTTAACTAAGTGCATACAAAATCAGACTCTTAGTTATATCGGTACTAAATCTGTATAAAGTAACACATTTAGTTTGATCTGCACAACATTGTGTGTGTAGAACAGGCATAAGTGTAGGGGAACAGGGAGCGTGTGTTTAAAAACTGCACATTTGAATTTTAAAAACAGATAATGAAAACACTTACATTTGTCTTAAGTTTTGTAAGAGCTGCCTGAACAAAAGTCTACTGTAAACATTGGGCCAAATTTGACCCAATTGTTGCCTCAGCAAAACATATACAAACTCTGAATGTTAAGAGACTTAAAGTAGATTTCAGAGTAGCAGCCGTGTTAGTCTGTATTCACAAAAAGAAAAGGAGGACTTGTGGCACCTTAGAGACTAACCAATTTATTTGAGCATAAGCTTTCGTGAGAGCTTATGCTCAAATTGGTTAGTCTCTAAGGTGCCACAAGTACTCCTTTTTGCTACAGTAGATTGGCAATCTTAAGTCAACTTTCAGTGGTTTTGGGAGTTGAAACATGAACTCTTATATGTTAGGTTTTTATCTTTCCCTTTCAAAGGAGTTAGAAATAGGGTGATATTTCATGAGCTGCTAATCTGATGATGACACCATGCTTTTGGCATTCATGGAGCGGCTCCACATTATGGACCGTCAGTTCTGGGTCTGAGAAACAAACACCAAGTGTTTGCAGGTATAGGATGATGAGCGGTGGCCGCAGAACTTTCGGATGCGCAAAGCTACGTTCCTGAAAGTCTGTGCGGCGTGCATCCATGTCTTCTGGTGCAAGAACAACAAAATGAGAGCTGCCTTAATGGTGGAGAAATGAGTGGCAATCGTTGTGTGGAAGCTGGCGACTCCTGACTGTTACCAATCAATCGCAAATCAGTTTGGAGTGGGGAAGTTCACTGTGGGGGTTATGGTGATGCAGATGTGCAGGGCCATTAATCACCCTCTGATACAAAGGACTGTGACTCTTGGCAATGTGTGTTTAATAATGGGTGACTTTGTGGCAATGGGATTCCCTAACTGAGGCAAGGCAATAGATGGCGCACACATCCCCATTTTTGGCCCCAGGCCACCTTGCAACAGAGTACATCAACAGAAAGGGCTACTTCTCTATGGTATTGCAAGCACTTGTGGATCACGGGGGTCATTTCACCAACATTACTGCAGGGTGGTCAGGGAAGGTGCATGATGCACGCATCTTCAGGAACACTGGCCTGTACAGAAAGCTGCAAGCAGGGACTTTCTTTCCAGACCAGAAGATTCCAATTGGGAATGTGGAAATGCTAATAGTGATTCTTGGACACCCAGCCTACCCCTTCCTCCTGTGACTCATGAAGCCTTACACCGGAAACCTTGACCGCAGCAAGGAGCTGTTCAACGAGTTCAGCAGGTACAGAATGCCTATTGAATGTGCCTTTGGCTGCTTAAAGCATCGCTGGTGCTGCCTTTTTGGCAGGTTAGACCTCAATGCCGAAAATGTTCCCACGGTCGTAGCAGCCTGCTCTGCTCTGTGTAACATTTGTGAAGCTAAGGGGGAGAAGTTTCCACAGAGGTGGATCGTTGAGGTGGATTGGCTGGCTGTTGCTTTTGAGCAGCCAGATATTAGGGCTGTTAAAGGGGCTCAGTGGGGAGTTATTTGAATTAGGGAGGCTTTAAAGGAGCATTTTGAAAATGATCCACAATAATGTGGGTTCTGTAATGCATTGAGCCACAGTATGAACCTTGTGGTGATTGCTGTGTGTATGTTAATTTTACACTGTAAGTGAACCAATTACCACAGTGTATGAATTCCATCAGAAACCACACTATGTAGGAGAAAAATAGAGATGTCTTCTCTTTCTAAAAATAATTTTTTATTAAATGCCTATGCAAACATTTCTGTGTTCTGCAAGGAACATGAAAATCCAG